TTTGCCTAAGAGATTTCATAACACGATGAAAAAGGCCTCAAACTTGATAAAAACAAAGTTTTATTGTCAAAATATTTATCTTATTATTAAGAGGAAAGACCAAAATATTTTTTGATTATTTTCATAATTTTTTTTCTTCTTTCTAGCACATTTGAAAGTTTGGTTAAAAATTTTTTTTTTCTACATCAGTGTGTGGGACAAGCAGAAATGATGGATGTAGTTATATGCATATCACTTAATAGAGACACAGTTCTAAGTGGAAAGTAAGACAAGGGTACTCCAGATGAATAGAATTGGATGATAATTTATGAGCAAAGCATCCTGCTTTACCAGTAAAAAATGATAGCACTTCAAACTGATTGAAGAGATGAGGGATTTTGGGATTACTCTTATTTAGCACACTCTTACAGAGACAGTCATGAGAACCAAACTTGTGGGGAACTATGGAGTGCCTTTCTCTATTAGCAAACAATAACTCAACCTCATTGAGGACATTTTCTGATTATTATGAGCAGGCAAAAAGAGGTGTTTGTTGTGATCAGAACTATCCCATTGGTTTTGCCAGAAAAGGTGATTCCTGGGGCTGAACAGTTAGATGTGAACCAAGGAGAAGATTGTGGTTTTGTCTGGTATTTATGAGATGGGACCTTGATGTCAGTTTTCACCCAAGAAAATAATAAATCAAAAGATCGGTATAAGAATACCCTGTCTAACTTGGGAGGAGGGGGGTATGGACAACAAATTTTAAATAGATGATCCTGTTCTCTTGCATACCTGAATGTATTGGGTCCCTGTTACTTGAGTGTGATTCATTTAGAATCAACACAGATACTCTCTGCATTCTCCGCAAATGATTACTGCTTGTACATAGTAACATGTGAAATAATATCCATAGTGTTCTGCATCTGGAAAGGCATCAGATCCATCTTGACATATGTGCAAAATGTTCAAAGCAGTTGAAAAAGCATATCTAGAAGAGTCAGAAAAGACAGTTTTTCATTTAATTTCATATTCATTCATAAGATGGATAAAATAACACTAATGAGGCTAGATATTAATTCTTAAACTTAACTTCCAGGTGTATTCTGTAAATGCATCACTACTTTCCATACATCACTGACATGAATAAAACAGGATCTTTGCATTGATGTTTGATCACACTTCCTTTTAAGATTCTTCCTTTTCACAGGACTGTCTTCACCATAGCTAGCTATACTGTTTACATACAGTCAATTATTTCAATGTTGCAGTGCAAAGAAGCAAAAAGATTGATAAAAGTAATTGTCAAGCATTCCATATCTATGTGTGTGCAGTTGTGCATATACTATTCTTACATATATGCAGTAAATTAGATAAACAGAGCAAAATACCTATAAGTATATATAATTGGGCTTAACAACTTTCAAGCCTCAAACTGTGACAGTTTTCAATTTTGATTGATATTTCTATATTTTCATGACTCGTTCTAGGGTTGATATATACATGCACAAGAAAAACCTCAAAAGCAAATAAATATTAGTAGCATATATTACTTGAACCATGGATATTGTGGTGATAAATGAACAAGAAAGTAAGATATTAGCTTTTAGTGTGTGTACATTATTTTTTTTTTTAAGACATAATTTGTACTAGATTTTTATTCATTCTAGATTGGCTTATGAGCATTTTCGATGGATTTTGTACATTTGTTAGCATAAAATATCCAGATGAACAGGTTGCTTCTGTTAATATTAGCAACCATTTATCCTCTCCTAATAGTGTTTGGAACAAATAATAGATGAGAATATATAAATTTCAAAAAGAAAAACTTCATAGCTTTTTAACTGTGTGAGTTGTGTTGCTTAGGCTAGTCTGCAATCATGTCTTTTTTAATCATTTCACTCCAATCAAGGCAGTAATGCCACTAAAACACAGTGGGTTACAGAGAGTGAAATTGAAAGAGAATGAGAAAACTGAGAATGAGGAAAATTAAGGAAAGGAAAAAAAGGAAAAGGATTCAAGAAGATAGTGATTGAGTTTGCATTTAAATTTTTGAAGATTGTAATTAACAGGGAAGCCAGAAATCAAAAGGGAGTTCCACAGATGGGAAGTGTGAGAAAAGAAACTGCTAGAGTAGAAGTGGTAGTTGCATTTAGCTATTACAACAGTGAAAGGGTAGAACCTATTTACCACTCTAATAACATACTTTAATTCATTGAGACACCAGGGAAAAAAGATTGTCAGAGCAGATGCCATGAAAATATTTGTAGAATAGATGGAAGCTATGTCACATCAGTGAGAAAATGACTGAAGTCAAGATTCTTGGTTAGGATCAATTACATTAAATATCTTTCTTTGGATATTGTCAAGAATCTTGAGATGTACAGCAGGAGTACCAGACCTGGTTTATAAATATACAAGATGGATTATGACAAAAAAAAATTTTCTGACATGATAACTTTTCTTTGCAGTAGTAAAAACTATGCAATATAGTCACTTTGCTTCATGGAGGCATTAAAATCTACAAGCCATATCTTGCCCCAGTTAACCACTGATTGGAGGTCCTTTTCAAGAGCAATTGCCAGGTTTACTTTGTCAGACCTGTCAGATTTCCTACTGACACAGGAGTAAATACCTAGTTGGGAACTGATGACATTAAGAGATCATTGATGAAGATCAGAAAGTATAGATCTCAAGATAGTGCCCTGGGGGACCCCTGTGTTCATATGAAAAGACTTGTGAGCCTGTTTAAAAAGACCTTTAGTGATGGCTGTTAACACATTGGCTGTATATCTGGCAAACTGGAAGCCATATTCTTTATCTGAAAGGAGGTCATGCCAAGTAAGATGCTTAACCAATTTGGCATTGATTGGAGCCTTGAGTACTTTCCTGAAAAGTGGCAAGAGACAAATTGGGCAATAATTTGATGGGTCAGAGTGTTCTTCAGAGTTCTTAAAAACAAGAACTCCAGAGGAGGACTTCCAATAAGCTGGAAAGTAGGAAGCAGCAAGGTATTTCCTGTGAAGTTTGGAGAGAACAGGAGCCAGCATAGAAGCACATTTCTTTAGGATGACAGGGATCCTGTCACATCCATTTGCCTTGAGGAGATCTAATTTAGAACTGATATCTGAAACCAGTACAAAGTTTATGCACATATCACTCGATAAGGCCTCCATTCTACAACTGTTACAATGTTTCCAATTTCTTTATGTTGCCCTGTTTTTATTGCAGCTATTCACTTAGTCATATTATACAGTAACAAGCTGGAATTTGATATTGATTTTAATTTTTTCAAAAGCAAGTGTACATTTATTAACTCACCACTTTATCAATCTCACTTGTGTCTGAACTGTCTTGTTTTCATTGATAACTGTCATATAATGTCATACATGACCTGTGTTGCTTTGCAACTGATTGAAAAGTCCAAATATCATTCAAACCTCACATAATGTATAAATATATCTGTGTTTGTGTCTGAGTATATATGTATGTGTAAATATATATATACTCCTACACACATAGACATACACATTGTTATATACATAGAGAAAACCATTCCCAGTTACACATGAATATACTTTTAGATGTTTACTTATTAATGTTCTTGTAATTCAAAGTTCTAAATCTTCATTTACAAAACAAACTAAAAATATTTTGGCTGAAACTTTGCTGAGTAATTTGTTTTCCCAATATTTGCATAATATTTGTATCTCCATTTCTTTGTAAAATCTTTATAAATAATATGAATATCATCATCCCCCACAAGTACATGTCATACTATATTTATCATATACTTATTTGTAAATATTTTTACTCCAGACATCATAGTAGATTTTACAAGTATGTAATAGGATATTACATACTTTGGCTTGAAGTATCAGTTTTTCTTTTTCTTTGGTTAGTTAAACTGAAAATAGTCTAATTCTTATATTAAATAAAATTCTTTCTCTGATCTTTTTATTTTGCCTGAAAATTCAAATGTATCATCAAAGAAGTTACAGAAAGAAAGTCAATGTTGAGAATTCAAATTAATTTTCTATAATCCTGCAATTAATTGTGAATAATCTTTATGAAAAAACTTGCTTCGGTGTAATTCCCAATATTAATCTTGTTTTATTAAGTAATATTTTTTTAAATTTTGCAACCATTTTCTAGCTTTCAGCAACTCTTAGGCTGATATTTTATTCTTAGTTATGCTTTTATAAATTTTATTTTTTCCCTCATGTTTGAATTTTATTCTTTTAGTAATAACATTAAGCTTGAGTCCAAAGCAGTGATGACAAATTGGCTTTCAATTAACAAAAAGGATAAAAAAAATGAAAGCTCAACTTGAATCAACAAAATCTTGAAGTAGCTTTTATTAGTAAACTGATTTAGCCTAATTTATTTTTAAAAAAGTGATGGGCTTTAACAAGAAGCATAATCAGACAACCTTAGTCAAAAGTGGTGGTGTACTGTGTCCAGAATACAACAGTTTATATTACATTTTCTCTTTCTGTTACAGATTCAGGGTTATTTTGTTTTATATAAATTGAATTATATATACAAAGAATGATGAAGAAGATTAAAATGTCTTATTTTATTTAAGTTACTTGTCACAATATATGATTGTTTTTTCAGTTGCTTCAAGAAGAAGAATCACATCACACTGTTTTGTTCATTGTGCTTTGTTGTTTTTCAAATACAGAAAGTTACATACAAAAACAATTTAATTTCATACAACAGGGACTAGAATAGACACAGGAAGATTTCTTAATGACTTTGCCTAGCACTGTTACATCTGGCTACTACTTGTAGACTTCTTTATTATGCAGACTTCTTATATCTTTCTTCATAAGTTATAAGTTAATGAAAGTTTATTTTAAATTGAAATTTTAAGCTGATATCTACTTAGCATGGATTTCATGTCTTATTAATAATCCTCATTAAAAATATATTTTTATTTTGTTTGGAAGTATTTAATTAACAGATTATGTTATGACAATGTGTCTATTTCTTGTCTATTTCTTTCATTATTGAAGATAATCCTGTTTGTAATGAAGATGATTTCAGGACTGAAGTGTTAGTGACACTTCTGGGTTTGGACAAATTGAATAAAGATGAATTTGCAGATGAGGAGAAAATAGAAGCATTGGAAATTTACAGACAACGACAGGCTGAGGTAAATTTCATTGAATTCTAATAAAGATGAAATTTGAAGAAAGAATTTAAATTTCATTATTTTTCTTCTTATAATGAAAACAATTTAATATTGTCAACCTCTAAAAATATGAACATGTCTGTATATTCTTGCACACACACACACACACACACATTATTAGCCACTTTTAATTTTTCTTAAATTTTTAGAAAAGTAATGATGGAATTCATAAAATAAATTTGCGCTATTATCAATGTACACAAAGATCTTGAATTAAAATTGCAATGAGCACAAATTTATGAAGATATTAATATAAAATGTATGCATCTAGTTCTGAAATTAGTTTATTCTTTAATTTTGTGAGCTGTTGTATTTCTTTATATGAAACATGTTACACATAACCTAGAATAGTATTCATTTGTACTGTTAAACTGCTATCTGCTAGTGAAAACATTTCAGAATATTTCACATGTTTACAATGCGGTTAAAGTTGAGTTAACAAGCTGGCCATTTCTTAAAACAAGTGTCTTTGAAAACCTGTTTTATTCAGAAGTCTGTTTTGCCATTGTCATGCATAAAATCATCTTCTTTCTGAAAGTTTTTAGCCTCTCCTTGAACTGTGGCTCTACATGCTCCTTCAAATTATCAATGGTAACCATCATAGACTTTTCATTTCATTATCTATAATCCCACCCTATAACATCAAACCACCTTCACCTTGTAAACATCTCAACCTGTTAGTTCCCAGTAGTCACCTCAGTTTTTGCTTCATATGTCTGGATGTAATTTGTATATTGTATGGAGCAAGAAAATGAGTAGAAAGTTTTTTAATTTCAAATTGGCTAGTCACTTTCAACAGTGCTTTTGCAGCACTTGGGCATTAGGTAATTTGCAAATAATCTACTGATCACTTTTATATATACCTTTATTGGTCAAATTCACATCTGCATATACAGGGTATATAAGGTATTTGAGGATACATCAAAGACTATAAAAAAAACAACCACAGCTTGCAAACAACTAAATTTATTGATGCAAAATTTGGTACAGAGATGTCATAATAGTTGAATTAAAAGTTTATTTGATTTAACTATCTTCAGCTGCAATGATGCCTTCAAGTGGGACCAGAATCATTGACATACACTAATCACATGGACTATACTGATATTAGACATTACTCAGATAATGGTGGCTTTCAGGGAATCATTCATACAGAAGTGGGAAACTTGGTGTGCATAACATGCAAGACATCAGAAGGATCCATCCATAATAACTTATCATTTCTCTGGTTCACTTTTTGATTCGGGTAGAAATTCATTTCATCTGAACCAAAGAGAGCATGCCACCTTCTGCTGGATATTTCAAAATTTAAAATCCTGATATGCTTAAAGTAACCATTGTTCTTTTATGTGTACCATCATGAACTATCCTTTACTCATCATGTATGACTAGTACCAAATGTCCCCATGCACCACTTTGTGGGTTGTGCCCTCAGACACTAGGAGAATTCTGGCAATAGCCCTCATGGACATTCCATAGTTTGTATTGATAAATATTCTCTGCACCCCCAATGGTACAAATTGTGGCGTCATGATACTACCCAATTGCTGTGAATGTTGTTTTTTTTTTTTTTTTTTTTTTTTACTAAGCCACAAACAACACATCCTTGTTAGAAGATTTCAACTCCTTCCAAACTTCCAAAAGGCATGCAATCTTCACATAGCTGTACTTTACATATATTTCAACAATTACAACATATTGTTCCATCTCATGCATTAGCTGATAGTTTGCCATTGATGTTCTGAAAAGATGAAAAACACATAAATTGATTATCACATAACTCCAGGCACACAATCATGTGTCCTGAAATGCCATACACATCATATAATTGAGAAGACAAGAGATATCCTAAAAAAGATCAGGAAGAATTTCTTTTATATATCTGTTATATATAAGAGGAATCAAAATACAGAAAGAGTTACATTTTTTTTTAAATTGTTTCATGTAGTATAAATATTAATAATGCATCAGTGTTACATTAAACCACATTCCTCCCTTCCTTACACACAAATTCATACATGAATGAGCCATTTATAAACCATTGTAATCACTTTTAAGTTGTGAAAAATTCATGTACAAAATTATCATCTTCACTGTAATTGATAAGGATATTGGGAAATAGTAATATCATAAAAATTGATAATGATTATGTTATTACATGTTATACATGGAGAAATTAAAAATATTACAATACATTTTAATATGTTACTATAAAGTATATTAATATCTTCCTTATAGCTATTTATATTATCAATATTTTGTTTTTCATATCTTTTAGTAATCAATTTTATAATATTGTAAATACCATGTTTAAACAAATGGTTTCATCAAAATAAAACCATGTTTACTAGTAAGCTCTATAAGATTAGTTTAAGTCGAAGTTAAAATGGCATATGAATGTTCAGTGTTGCATGGTATATTACTCAGTTTTTCAGATGCATAAAGGAGTTATATCTTTTTTATTCATTGCCAAGAAATCCCAAAAGAATAGTTTTGCAAAAATTCAAAGACATAAATTATTTTAGGCATATACTTATATTTCAATTGCTTAAAAAAAAAATTTTCCAATATAAAAAAAAAAAAAAAAAAAATTATGAAGTGTGAATATAATGAAATATTCAAAAGAAATATTTTTCTGATTGATATTTATTTGATGAATTTTTATATAAATTTGAAAAGTATTTTTCTGTATTGATAGCTTGAATTCATTCTAATATTTACTGATTTATGTTTTTGTGCTTTTCTTTAAAGAAGAAAAAATCTGTGGAGTTGGAAAATATGGACAGTGTTGTTTAATTCTGAGAGATGTGCCATCAGATTATAATTTGTGGAATTGAGAAATTACAACTGTAACTTTCATATTTTGTTTCTTCATATAGTGTTTTTTCAATAAATATTAAATTATGAATTGTTTCCCATTTTCTCATATATTTCAATTTTTGATGTTTAATTTTGGGTGATTCTGTGTTTGAATAATACACCTTTACCTTGGAGCTATCTGTGATAGTTCAGTTAACATACTTAGAAAGAAAAATATTACTGATGAAGTTTGAAACATTTTTGTATTGGGATCTTGTGGTACAACAACCTGATTATTTGTCTTATGATTTGTATACATCACACCATCTTAGCCAAAATGGCAGGACTCTTCAGTTATGTTCAATAAAGGCATATTAAGTCAAACTAGACTCCAAATTTTCATAAAAATTTATTGAATGTAATTATGCACAAATACTTTAAACAAGAATATCTCAACTGAGTCTGCAGACTTGTCTTCTACTGATGCCTGGCAATATTGAAAATGATTATTCAAAGGATTCTTGCCTGCACTGGAAAACAGTTCATCCATTCCTATTACTGATATGGATAGACTTAACCTGCTAATGCACCATGTTTCCATATCTGTATATACCAATATTTCTCACTGCAAAACTTACCAGAATGCTATGGACGTTTTGGATATAATTTTTGTGAAGAAATGAAACAACCATTGCCTGGGTGCCCGAGTGCCCTGTGGTGTTCTTCTCCAAAACATTGTCAAAACCTGGGCGCAGATATTCAGCTGTTGAAAAGGAGGCTTATGCCATGGTAACATTTCTTAATTGGTCACTGCTTTAAGTTGATCACTGACAAAAATCAGTCTCTTATGTTTAATCCCAAGACGTTAAGCAAAATAAAAAATGAAAAGATAGTGAGAGGGAGGGTAGAGCTTTCCCGTTCTGTTTGATATTTTCTATTGGTCTGGAAAGGGAAATGCAACAGTGGATAACCTGTCAAGAGTATGTGAATCAATAAACAACACCAAAGATCTACAAAAAGTTCATAATGATCTCTGTCATCCAGGCATTATGAGGAGGATATATATGGTTTGAAGTCAGAATTTGCCTTTTTCTGTTGAAGAAATGAATAACAAATGGTTGTTAGATATGAACTTGAATAAAAGCAAGGAACTACAAACCTGAATCAGGAACCCTAGTGAAAGCTACACAACCATTTGAGAGGCTGAGTGTGGACTTTAAGGGTCTGCTTCCATCTAAATCCTGAAACAAATATATACTGTCACCAAGTACTCATGATTCCCTTTTGCCTTTTCCTGTCTAGATGTATGGGCAACAACAGTCATACACTGTTTCTGTTCACAATATTCGGATCACCAGCTTATATTAATACAGATCACAGGACCTTTTTTATGTCTGACAAACTTAGAAAATTCCTATTGGTACAGGGAGTGGTTGTAAGCCAGACTACACTATACAACCCTCTATGGAATGGACAGTGTAAGAGATACAATGGCATAATATGAAAGACCATATAGTTAGTATACAAAAACCAAAACCTTCCAATTAGGCATTGGAATGATGTAATAATCAAGGCTCTGTATGCTATAAGAACATTATTGTGTACAAGAACTAATGCAACACCTCTCACAAAAGTTTTTTTTAAATTTCCAAGGCAAAATTTGTTCAGGATCTCCCTCCTTCCTTTACTTAGAAACAATGTTCAACAAAGCAAGTATGATTCTCCTGTGAGTAAGATGGAACTGCTTTCTGTGAACTCATTCTATACACACATCCAGCACTCTGACAGGAGACTAGAATATTTCCCTCAGAAATTTGTCCCCTGCTGGTGAGTTATCAAACCAGAGGGAGGAGTAGCTCTCCTCTGAAGTAATATCTCTACCTCTTGATATTAACGATAACACAATGTCATTGAGGAACAAGGCCCTGATAGTGAAGATTCAGAGATTGACACCAGAATAGCTCCTTCAAAATGAGAGCATACAACCACAGAGACTGATAATCAGCTTTCAGAATCAGAGCATCTCACTCCAAGAAGGAGACAAAAACAATATGGGACAAAATGTTTCTGTCCAACTAACACCTGTAACACCTGAATGCCCAGATCAGCTGCCACCAAGATGACCCCAGAGAATTTTTCAAGAGACCCAGTCACCCAGATGATTTTGTGCTAGACAAGGAGAAAACAAAGTCAGGGAGAATGTGGTAAGACAACTCGATTACTTCCCATATTTAACCAAAATGGCAAACTCTTCAGTTACGTTCAATAAAGGCACATTAAGCTGAACTAGACAGTTTTTTTTTCAGATCTTCAGAGAAGTATGATTTTGTGGAACAATATAGTTCCTCTATTAGATCGAGTCATTCAGCTTGGAAAACAGTTGCTCATGGATAAGAAGAGGGGCTTTCTTTTGATGGTCATTAATATAACATCATGAAAATTCAGAATGTGGACTTAGTAAATACTAAACAATTCTAATATTGTGGTATATGGATCAGTTATAGTAAATTGATATAGGAAATAAGGAAATTGCACATAGAATAGGCTGCAATAGGGGTAGTTTTACCCAACACCACAAGATGTTACAAAGCGGAAACATTAACCTAAGAATTTGAGTCATGTTTTTAAATAGCCTCATCAGACTCTTATATAGATGTCATGCATGGTATCCAACTCATGCAGGTATATCTAAACTATCAGCTGTATACAACCACTTTTTCAGATCAATGATTAAAAATGGCTTCAAGTAATTGAATCTTGTTGGTCTTAGAGAGGAACATTCATCAGATCTTATGGACAGATGTTACAGGATAAAAAAAAAAAAAAACTTTACCAAATAACAGAAACCACATCACTCAAAGACTTTCAACAGCTGCCACGACTTAAATAAATAGCACGTCTAACTTGAATAGAAAATAATAACATAACCAAGATGTTGACATTCAACACTACTCTAGGCAAAAGATTTCTTTTCAATGGATGATTTTTGAGACATGAAATAGTTTATATCAAAAGATTACTGGCTGTTCTGTAATAGTGTATTAAGTAAGTGTAGGTGTCTATTCCTCTTCTCTTCAATCAATTTGAGGTGTTAACATCCTCTGCTGATAAAGCTGAATGCTTCACCCATAAATTCTCCTTAAACTCTACTCTTGACTCATCTGAGGTATCCCTGCATAACTTCCCACTTAGAACTGAATCTCTGTTGAGTGGTATGCATGGAACCTCTACTAGAGTTTCTGCTATCATCTCTAACCTAGATCCCCACAAAGCATGTGGAAGTTATTATTTGTTGTTCCAGTTAAGAACTCAGGAGAACAGTTTGACCTTTCCAACTATTAGCCTTCTACCTCTTTTTGTGAAACTGCTTTAGGCTGTAATCAATGCCAAATTGGTTAAGCATCTTTCTTTGCAGGGTTTTTGTTCAGACAAGTAATATGGTTTCCATTTCTCCATGTCAACTGCCGATGTACTAACAATAATCGAGGAATCATATATCATGCTCTAGATAAAAACGGTGAAGCCTGGGCTGTAGCTTTGGACATCTCAAAAGCTTTTGACAAGGTCTGGCATTCAGATCTTCTCCACAATATGAAAAGTTAGTGTCTCTGGTCACATTTTTGAATTGATTCAGTCTTTCCTATCAAATTGTGAAATGAAAGTTGTCCTGAACGGCCACTTGTCTAATGTACTAATATTGGTGTCCCCTAGTGCTCCATCCTTGGTCCTACCTTGTTTCTTAATTTTCATTAATGACCTTCCTGATTGCATCAACTCTTAACTTGGTATCTATGCTGATGACTGTCACTTAAGGAAGGTTGATTAGTTTGATAAAATAAAAAATGGCAGTCAATGTCAAAAAACAAGCTCAAATCCGTTGGTAACTGATAGCTTGTTAATTTTAACAGCTCCAGAACTAAATATTAATCATCTGAGAGACTCCTCTCTACCATGACTAAGGCTAACCTCCAGGAAAGTGACTCGTTGCACCTTCTTGGACTAACGTTCTCATCTGACATAAAGTGAGAATACTATATTGAATCCATTGTTTGGTCAGCTGTTAAGATAGTTGATTTACTGTATCGTGCAAGACAATTTTTCTCTCCAGAATCTCATATACATATCTATAAGCCTACCATTCATACATGCTTAGAATATTACTGTCCAATATAGTCTAGTGCCCCCTGCTTTTTTTTTTTTTTATGAAAAATACTATTTTGATGATGCTGGAAAATGTTAGGAGGGTTAAATGCCTTTCTCAGAAAGGCAGTTTTTAATATATGTAAATGTTTTTTTTAAGTTTATGCAAGCAAGATTAAGTTTAAATTTTAATTGTTAAAGTAATTTAAAATGAAAAGCTTATTCTGTCCCGTTTGCATCGGTAGATGCAAACAGGAAAGAATGAGGGAAAGAATGTAATTATATATGTATAAGAGTTATGGATATATCCATATGTAGTAGTCGCCTTTATGTATCAAATGTTCATGTTATTTGTTGTACCATACTGGACAACTGTGAGTAAAAGTAAATGACATGACAAAACATTGTGTGCTTATCTGTAACAGCCTTTGACTGACAGTAGCCAAAGCTTTACACTTAATAAATGTGATTGATCTCTATTGACTCACATCACAAGCTATAACATATGCAATTGATTGCTAACGATAAAATCTTCGCAAACTATAACAAATATAGCGAAGAAAACGGCGACTTACCTCGTCAAACCAAGCGACAGCGTGTATCCTAAGACGGAAAATGTGGAGAAAAGAAAAATTCGTGTATTTTGGCTACCACGTTCGTCGTAGAGGGAGTTATTTTTCTGACTGGTTCTATGCATTGTGATTTGTGAGATAGTACCTGCGAATCGAGATTTCGGTATTTCTTTCTGTCCCCGATATTCGAGTCGGATTTGTGTTCTGCTGGGTGGAATTAATCTGCGACAAATATTTCCTTTGCTGTCCCAGAACGCTTACAATTAATTATTTGAGAATCACAGATTTTGACATATCCCTTTTCACTAATATTTTATTTAGAATTAGAGAATACACGTGAAAATGCCAGTTCTGCAGCTTTAATTTATGTCAGTGTAAAACTTGTCATTATTTTTGTAAGTGTTCTAAGTGGGATGAAAAGAAAAGCAAAGTGAACATATTAGATACGAGTTTTTCATTTGAAATTGTATGGTGATTTATTTTTAATTTCTTCATTAAACAAAGGTTTTGTAATTTCTCAGCTGACATTAATGCATATGGATCTTTCTTTACTTAAACCTCTCCCCCGCCCGTAACGAAAAACAAAAAGCAAGAAATTAAAACAAATAAAATAAATATATAGAAGTACCTTTCACTTTTTGAGCCACAGACAGTTTATTTTTTCAGGTTCAATGAAGTAGAAAAGTCAATTGTTGAACATGCTTTGTAGCATACTTTACAGATATTAAAAAAGTGAAAACAAACTAAAATGAGTAATTTCAAAATTGAATATTTTCTTTATAAGAAAATCAACTTTAAAAAGAAAAAAAAATTATAGCACAAACTATTTTTTTTTTTAAAGTTTGTCTTTAATTTCATTTTTAAAAAAATGAAATTGAAGAATAACTTTATTTCGTTTAAAAATGAAATAAACGAAGAAAAAGAAATTAAAATAAAGAGAAGTATAAAATTAAGTAAAAATAGAAAATTCTCAAGCGGATAAGTATAAGAAAGTAAATCATGAAGAAAAGGCAGTAAAAGAAAACTTGAAAAAGGTGGAAGAAAACAAATTGAGAAAGAAAATTAGTAATGAAACACAAAGGAAAACAAAGAAAAGCAATGGAGAAATAGATATGATGATAGTGTCTGCCAGAGCGTGAAAAGAGAAAGAAAAAAAGAAAGAAAAAGTATATGATGAACATTAGGAAAATATAAAAAGAGGCAAATAAGTGAAATGCAGATTATTCTTCATTTTGTAACGAGAGTGCTTGGAAGAAAGATTTATTCTCACATTTTTCCATGATATATCAGCACTGATATTTCACGGACATAACGGAATAACTGAATAGAAAAAGAATGCTTTGTTCTCAGAAATTTTTATAATGCTCCGACGTACACAAAACTATATATATATATACAAATACCCTACGTGGAGAACTATATATCACATATCTACATAGCAAAGTATAAGGATTAACTAAAAGAAAAGGTCTTATATATAATTTTTTTTAAAATAATATAGCGTTATAATTTTTTTTAATTAAAAAAGAAAAACAAAGCGTTAGGAAATCATTTGACCGAAATCGCCTGAAGATACTAAAAGGTTGAAACCAAGGTAGCGGAATCGTCAGACCTAATTTTCTCTCTCTCTAGATATATATATATATATACACACACATACAGGGGTTGGACAAAATAATTGGAACAGGTGCAAATTCCATTCCTATATTTCCTATTATATTAAGGACTTTAACAAAAAACTTCGTAATTGCAGGTTAGATCTATTGAAAATACCTTTATCTTATTTACTGTCTTTGTCTTATTTATTTTTAGAATTTAGTAAAATTTAGGCTAAATGCGTGACCTCTGAGTTCGAAAAAGTGCAAATTGTTGGAGCTCGCATGGCAGGAGCCTCGATCACTAAGGTTACTGAACTGTTTGGATTTTCAAGAGCTACCATATCAAGAACTATGACGCAATTCGAGAAACAGCAAAACCTCTAGCAACCGTAGCATTACGGGCCGGACTTGCAAACTTACTGACAGGGACTGACGTGCATTGAAACGCAATGTGGCAAATCAATCATCAGACTACTGCGGCCAAAGTGACTGCTGAGATGAATAATCATCAGAATAGTCCAGTTTCTACTAAAACTGTTCGGCGTGAGCTCCATAAGGCTGCATATCATGGAGAATCCGTAAGGAAACTTCTCCATTCGCAACATTCAGAAAAGGTTGAAGTGGCGCAGAGATCACAATGTCTGCAGACCAATGGAAGCAAGTCATTCTCAGACGAGTCCAGTTTTTCTCAACTTCAGGGCGAGTTTATGTGTGGAAGCAGCCCAAAGAAGCTTACAACCCTGACTGCCTTCTAACAGTGAAGCATTATTGCTTCTGAATACTTTCTAAAGATTGTCTTAAAAATGGAAGTTTTGCCTCGTACTAGTCAGAATCTGACAACGAATTCCTAATTTTAATCAAACTGACAATGGATATAGCATTTGACATTTACTCATAAAAGACAAGTTCAAATTACCCACCTAAAATTTTAGAAGAGCATTAAATAACGGAAATTTAATTCAAATTAAATTAAATTGCTCTAACACTAGTAATGATGTCGATATGTTCAAAAATTAATGAGAGGAGAACTAATCAGTCGTTGAGACTTGTATATCAAAGAACTTGAAATAATACATAAGGCAGAAAAAAGAAGAAATTTATTGAAGACAAAGTATGCAGTAAAACTAACAATAGAACAAATACTGGAACAGAAAACTGCAAAACGAGAAGCCAAATACAGAAAGATGCAAATGAAATAGATCGCAAATAAAATGAAATGGACATGACTTTGCCACAAGCTGAAAAATAACGGTATCTCTGGGTTTCAGGTTTCATCCTTGGTCCTACAAGGTTTTTAATCTTCATTAACGACCTTCCCGATAACATCAGCTCTCAATTTGGCATCTACGCTGACTACACAACCATTTACTCCTGCCTGATCAGACTAGATCAAAATGGCAGCTGGGGCCCAAAACGACCTCAAGACCGTTGTTAACTAAGGTAAAAGATGCTTTGTCAATTTTAACGCCTTTAAACTTCTCTCCATTAATCATCTGAGAGATCCTAACCTCCTCATTGGGCCGGGCGAGACAATTTTTCCCTCCAGAATCTATCTTGCATATCTATTAGTCTACCATTCGCCCGTGACAACTATACCAGTTGTTGTAATAGCTCCAAAAAGCTTTGCAAATAGAAAGAAAAACGGAAATCTGAAAAATAATCGAAGCTGTTCTGATGAGAACACAACCAAAATAAATTAGAATACTGAGTCGAATGCTAGAATATTGAGGAATTCCACTGGAAGTATTCGCAAACATATGATAAAGTTTTAGAGAAAATAGAAATAAAACGGAAACTTATACGTAGCATCAGAAAGAACCGTTTGAATCTTCTGGGGGCGCATTTCTGTGGAAAGAGCGCATGGGAAATTTGACACTCACAGGAAATATTGAAGGCAAGAGGTACTGAGAAAAACAGCTCGTAACATACCTAGCGTGTTTGTGAAAATCATCGGTAGAACAGAAATTATGAGTAATTAAACAAAATACAAACTTTACTAAGAGCTTCAAAGGGCAGGAAATTATGGAGATCCATGATCGCCTAGCGCCCTGACGAAAGATGTCGCATAGAAAAACTTTATAAGTCCCACTTTCATATTGTAGAGTAAAAGATTTCGTAAACACTTCACTCTTCTTTCGCTTATTGAGTAGCGAGCTCAATTCTCATTGGGTGCTCTACACTTTCGGACTTATGCCAAATCTAAGCTTCGCTTAGAAAATGATTTGGGCGCTTCCACATGGTGCAATGGCTAGCAAAGCTTGTCTTGCTAGGTCATTTACGACTGAGTAGTGAGTTCGATCCTTAGTGGATGTTCTGTATGACATCTAAGATACGCATAGTAAACTGCTGTATTCGTATGTCTGTCACACGCAGACAACGCTTGCCTCCTCCTCTTTTAGTCTTTTTTATCACTGATAAATATGGGGCCACATCTCTCAATAACACTAATAGTTGCTACTGTGGTTTCTATAAAAAAAAAATAAGGTTTATGGGAAGAAGTTACTAAATCCACGCCTAACCGGTTTTCGCTTACAGTACCTGGTGTTCCCAAGAAGTGCCATATTTAAGTACTGATCAGGCTCGACACTGTTTAACTTCGGTGATCATATGAGAACAGGAGTTTCAGCGAGATTTCACCATAATCTAGACAAAGATTGACGAGAAGAGAACTAGCTGTTCTTTTATAATTTAGATATAACAACTGTTGCAACAGTAAATTTTGTAAAAATTAAAAATATACTTGTTATAAGAACATATATAATGATGATTATGAGGATGATTGTAAGCACTTTCGGTCCCACTAGGAAATGCTGGGATCAAGACAAATCCAGTGGGGAGTTTCAATAAATAAGTTTAAAACATCATGTGTTGTCTTTGTGTTGCTTCATGTTTTCAGCGACCAGTCTCACACAACTTATCTTTCCACCTTAAGACCAGTGGAATATGGATTTACTTTCTAAAAGGAGAAAATTATTTTCTAGAAGAATTAGGACCCAGATCAAAAAGAAAAAAAATGTTCAAATTAACTACACCAGAATGGTTTGACTTTACAAATCAGGGAAATTAGCATAAATGGTCGCAGAAATTTCAACGCTTTTGAGAAGCATTTAAACTCTGGGAAGAAATAACAAAACTCAAGTAAATACATTAAGATATTGCATTGGAAGCAAAGCCGAAAATATATTTCGGACATACGACTCGGTTTTGGAAAAAAAAATCAATGCCTACTTCATGCCTAAAAGAAAGAGCCAAAATTTACCTTAGGGTTCAGTTACCAGTAGAACCAGTGGGAACCTTTATTCAAATTAGCAGAAGTATGTGAGTTTCGAAAGAAAAATAATCAAATCAGATACCGTCTTGCGAGAGGACTACAGAATATTGACCTATCCGAAAGATTACAATTAATTCCTTATTTGAAACTCGAAAAAGTTACAGACAGTAAATGAAGAAAAGAAATATTTCCTAGGAGAGCTGTCAGAAACAGATTAAACTGACCCGTGGGATAAAAAAATTGTAAAATAGACAAAATTCCGTTAAGTAAAGAAAGCTATCTACTCACGACTTTCATTATTCCCTTTGTAGGATATTGCTTCAAACAGTTACCTTTTTGTTGTAACATCAACACCGGAAATATTTCAAAGACAGAGGTCAGAAATATTGAAAAATATTCAAGGAATCGAAACAATTATCGACGAGGTTCTAATCTACGGTAGAACACGACGAAAGATTAAAAACTGTTCTTAAAGCACTACAAAAAGCAGAATTCGATCTTTATAAAAAGAAAAAGAAAAAAGTGTGAATTCAAAAAGACACAATTAGTATATTTCGGACACATAATTTCTGGAGACGGAACTCAACCCAGCAAGGAAAGAATAAAAGCCTTTAAGGAGTTGCTTGCACTTACAAATTTAACTCAATTACATTGTATAATCGGCATAATACACTTAGGCAAATCCTTGCCGAAATTGTCTGAAACAATACAGCCAATGACGGAATTATTGAAAAAAGACACTGTATTTGTGTGGGACTATCCACAAGATAATTATTTTAAAAGAGTAAAGGAATTACTAAGTCAAGCAGCCAATTCTATTGTACTATGATCTAAGCAGTTATTAGCACTGAGGCTCGTAATGATGATTTCGGAGCAATTCTATTTGAAGAAATAAATGGAAATTTAAAAATAACAGCATTTGCCTTACGCACACTCAATAGCGCTGAGAGGAAATACGCACAGATTGAGAAAGAGTGTATTAGCTGTGTATGGGTATGTGAGAAATTTGATAGATATGTCACAGGACTGGAATCTTTTAAACTGTTAAACTGACCATAAACCACTTATAATGTTAATAATCACATTAATCTGTACAATACCCAATTAAGATGTCAAAGACTTCTGATGAGACTGAGAAGATATAACCTAGTAGCAGAACACGTTCCAGTGAAGGCACTAGTTGTACATGACACACTATGGAGAAGTCCTTTATCCGATACTGATAGTAATATCAGCAAAGATATACACAGACTATGTGGTGAGAACCAGACCAGAATTGGATAAGAAATTAAATTAAATAAAAATAGCTACTCATCAGGGCACTGTATTACAGGAAATAATACATCTTGCACTAAATGGTGTGTGTGTGGGGGCATACAAGAAAGGAAGAAGAAAAAAAGGCATAAGCCCATATTTTTTAAGTCGATATGAATTGTCAGTTCATAACAATTTCAGGACAGAATTGACGTACCTGTAAAAACTTAGATCAGAAATATTAATGACACTTCATAATGGTTATTTGGAACGAAAATAATACCGAGAGAGAGCTAAAGAATCTGTGTGGGCCTAAAATTAGGAGTTAGTCGAGTATATAAAAAATGCTCGTTTTGTAACATACACCATCCAGCAAATAAAAAGGTAAATTTTAAAGTAACCCCACTTCCTCAAGGTCCACGACAAAGAATTGGTACAGACATTTTCATTAAGCAAGGACACCGATATATTGCTGCAATGGATTTTTCAACATATTTAGAAATAGAGAGCTTAATCCAATGACAAGCGATTGTGTTATAAGGAGGTTGGAAATTTCTTCTTATGTTGGGAATCCCTATTGAATTTGTCAGTGATAATGGAAAACAGTTCTCAAGTTACACTTTCAAAGATTTTGAAACCAAGAAACCTTCACTTCTTTGTCTTCAACAACGACATATCGACAAATGAAATCCATGTGATCAGTATGAGAAATGTCCGGTGTACTGCCTAGTATGATCGCAAAATAATTAGCTTTTCGAATTCGATCCAGTATATTTTCCTTTTTTCCCAAGATATGAATGAATTCATTTTGGATTTTCGATGACAATTACTGCCGGTTAGCATTTGCTTCTTTCAAGTAATACTTCCCAAGAACAGGATCATACTTGCTCATAAGTTCAACAAGTTCTATAAATTTACCTTTATTGGATGACCTTTGAAAGCAGGTTTTTTCGTCAAAGACTTCACGACACCGTTACCGTGTTAAAACCTGTCTTCAAAGTTCAAGTATAATCAAAACAATTCAACAAAAAAGAATTCAAGTGAGGAAGACTAAAACTTATAGAAGGATCCAGGAAGTCATATTTCTGATATACTTATATACGATTTTAGAGATTTCCTGTTGGGATGACATTTAAAAAAATAAACTGAATGAAAACTTTTCATACAGGAAATCAATTATTTTATAAAAAAGTAAAATAGTCATAATCTATCTATCTATCTATCTATCTATCTATCTATCTATCTATCTATCTATATATATATATATATATATATATATATATAAAAGTTTCATTAAAGACGACTGACAAGATTGTGTGATTAAGCTTTTTATTCAATTTTTCTTGTGCCCATGTTATCTTTTCTGGACATAAAACTGGTAAAAATCGTTCAAATGTTCTACATATCCGACCGCTTTCGGCTATTCTTTTATCGATGATTTTTAACTGATTTCCTTGTATTAGAGGAATGATGAAAGGACAAAAGTTGAACGGGATTCAAGAACACAGAAGTTGGTGATGGACGTTGCATTTTCATTTTTGGAGACTGCAGTTATCAAGGAAGCAAGGAAACGGGCGAGAGAGCCATAGGTGGGAAGTCCGAAAAAAGAAATTGTTGGAGTAGAAGTGGCGGTTGCATTTAGCTATTTGAACAGTAAAAGGGTAGGATCTAGATGCCAATCTAATAGCACATTTGAATCCATATATTGGGGGAACATGGGAAAAACGGTCGTCACAGTAGATGACATGAACATATTTGTAGAAAAGACAGAGGGAAGCCACATTACATTACAGATCCTTCTTTGGATTTTGTAAAGAATCTCAAGATGTATAGCAGGAACACCGTACAAGCTATGATAACAATATTCAACGCACGGATGAATGGTAAAAAGTATGGTATCTTTGCAGTAGATGCAGCTAATGATTCGATATAGTCACCCCACTTCATGTCAGTGGAAAACGTGAGGCTAAGAAGTCGTAGTGTGTTGCTCTCTTGAAGTCTAGGAGGCAGAAAATGTTCTCTGTGGTGACGGAATGAAAGCAGGTTTGTTTTAGAGGCGTCAGAAATGACAAGTTATTTCTTGCCCCAGTTAACCAATGAATAGAGGTCCTTTTCAAGATCAGCTAGCATGTTCACTTTGTTATATCTGTCGGATTTGCTACTGAGGCATAATAAATGGCAGTGGCATCTGCATAAATACCTAACTGGGAAATAATGACAACCATGAGATCATTGATGAAGATCAGAAACAGAGCAGGGACCTCCGCGTTCGTATGAAAGGATCTGGGAGCGAGCCCGTTCAGTTCAATACGTCCTTCGTTTCACGATTTGATAGGAGCGATTGAATTAAACCAAATATTCGTTCTGTGACACCATAGCCATGGAACTTACGTAAAGCTCTGTCGAACGCCTTCGCGGTATCTAGACCTAAATACTTTGCCGAAAAACTGTAAGAGACATATAGGGTAATAATTTGAGGAGTCAGAGGGTTCTCCAAAGTTCGTAAAAACATGAACTACAGAGGAGGAGTTCCAACAAGCTGGAAAGCAGGAAGTAGCGAGCAATTCTTGTGAAGTTTGGGGAGAACAGGAGCCAACCCAGGAGCACATTTCTTTAGGACACGGCAAAATACCATTACACCCGCTTGTCTTGTGGGAATCTCGATTCAAAATGATGTCTGAAATCAGTGGTGGGGTTATGCTCATATCACTCAGTAGAGCCTCCATTCTAGTGGGGGGATCAGGCAGGGATACTACAGATGAGTCGAGAGTGGAGATGGAAGAGAACTTACAAGCAAAGCCATATCTGTAGTAGATGTCGTAACTTCAAAATTATTGAAAAGAGGAGGGACCAAGTATTTGTAGTAGTTCAACATACTCTTGCAGAGACGCCAGTAATCAAACTTGTGAGATGCTGTATGCTGTTTCATTCTATCAGCACACAGTAACTTTGCTTCTTTGCACTCGTTACAAGCAGTAACAAATGACGTCTGTTACAATCAGAGCAGTCGTTCTGGTAAAGCCGGAATAAATGATCCCTGTTGGCCATAGAGGCTGAGCATATGCAGGGGAGAACCAAGGAGATGGTTGTGGTATTTCACTTT